GCTTCGACGATAGTGCAGCCGTGCAGCGGAGTGCAGCAGCGAGGGCTGATGCTGTGTGTGCTGGGGACGCGCGCGTGAAGTTTCCCGACAAATCCACTTGCTCCCTCAATTTACTGACGCGCGCGGAGCCCGTAGGCCCCCTTCTTACGTGTTGGTAATACGTTTAAAGCACGCGGGTGACTTCGGCTCGTAAATTATATCGAATGCGCGCAAAATTGTGTACGGCAATGCAGCCACCGCGTAGCCTTACGTGTTACGCGCGTGTGCGTCTAGGTGCGTGCGTACGCAACTCGACGACAGCCGGCCCACTAACAAAGCGCGTTGTGTCGCTCCTAGCCTGCCGCGCTGCTGCTGCTGCTTGTGCACAATAATGCCGTGGTGGTGAGAGATCTGTGTGTACGCGTGCGTGAGTATTTTATTTTTTGAAGCTGACAAAAAGCAACGCTTTGAAAGCTCACACCTCTCTCGTTCTCTCTCTAGGCCTGCTTTCGTCAATAAAACTAGCCCGCCGTTAATTGACGCTGATAATTACAGCGATACAAATTTGCTCTGATTGTGGGTAGTCAACCCGCGTCGCTGCTGTTTTTTTTTAAATGTGATGCTTTTAAGAAGTTGAGCTATGGTCAACGGTTGCGTGAGAGAGAGAGTAGCCATTTTGCTATCCGAGTCGCGTGTATGTCTGTCTGTGTGTATATTCCGTGTGTGCAATTCGTCTTCTACACATGTGTACATTTTGACGGATGTCCATCTGCGTTCGGGACTAAAAAAAAATGTTTCGTATAATGAGCGACAATCCACCTCCCCCCCCCAAGCGCCAAAAGAACCACGCGCGCGCACTCCGTCACTCCGCGTTACGAGGAGCGCCGCTGCTCTGTAATTTATATAGCCGCAATTAAGCAACGTCTGTCTACAATTATTAATTGAGTCTGTCAAAGCCCCGTTGCCTGGCGTTATCGGCTTGAAATGTGCGCCTTGCCTTCGTCAGTAAGCGCAGGGTGTGCGCTAAGGTAGTGCCCGCGCGCGTGTGCTTTTGCCAGTGTGTGTGTTGTGTATATATATGTGTATATATACACGTATATAAAACACGACACGTGCTGATTGTATGACGGTGCGATACGAGTCTTCTCGGTTGTATTTTTTAAAAAAAATTAAAAATAATCTAAGTAGCGCAGCGGGATGGCAGGTTATGTGTGTGTACATGTATGTATGTGTATCTGTCAAGGCGGCAAGTGACAACCCGAACACCCACAAACCGAACACCCAAACCGAACACGTTAACAATCGAGCCACCTTAACAACCGAACACCTCTACAACCGAACAACTCAACAGACCACCACAACCCATACACTGCCGTACGTTACGTACGCGGAGCACAGTGCGCACGAGGTTAAACATCGAGTTGCGCGTTGCTCCATTACGCACCCGTAAATTGAGTCCTTATCCCTCTTGAGCGCATCGTTGACAGCCGAGCCCATGGACCCGGCCATAACGCCCGCGTGGGTGCTGTGCGGGTACTGGTGGAGCGGCGGGCCGTGGTTGAGGTGCGGCACCGGCTGCATGGGTCTAGGAGCGTGCGGCTCGCCGTACATGGAGCCCACGCCGTCCATCGCCCCATAGTGCGAATGCGGCAGATCATCGTACTGTGGGGAGAGAGAGAGCGAGAGAGGAGGACGTGGAAGATGCTGTTTGTATGTTTGTAACGCGTGCACGCGAGCGAGTTAAGTCGTTAGGCGCGGCCGGTGCCGAAAGACGTCGACGCGCACGTGCGGTGTCATCGGCACGCTTCTCCACCGTTGATCACCGCCGACGCGTCGTGCCCCATTCAACACCGAAACTACGGTATCGTGCACGTTCGCGCGGACAGGCCCGTTTACTCGATCCACTGCTGGATGATGAGGAGCCCCCCCCCCCCCGTCTCCTCCACACGCCGTGCGAGACGCGAGGGCTATTCGAGCGAGCGTACTCGAAACAGAGCGAGTCGACAAAACTCGCGCTTGCAGCTGTAATCAAGCACAGACATCGTAGAAAGGTAAGGCGCAAACGAGGGTGAGTGAGAACAGAAGAAGCCTCGCACGCACCACGCGCATACCGAGTGGTTTTCCAGCCGTCTCCCCCCCCCTCTCTATCTCGCCGATGTTTGCAAGCGCGTTCGAAAGTCGCGCGATTTACAACGAGCGCATTTCCGAACAGCGTAGCTGAGCGAAGCGGACCGAGCCCCAGGAATCAAAAGAAGCGAGCGACAGAAGAAGAGGAATAGATACGCGGAGGGCTCTCGGGAACGCCGGCGACGAGGAGCGAGCGGCGCGCGCGACGGGAGAGGAGATGGCAAGGAAGAGACGTTACGTGGTTGCACAGCGCCATCATCGCTTCGGCCGGCCGGCCGGTCGGGGGGAGAAGAGAGAGAGAGAGAAAGGGGGGCCCACACTGAGCTTGTACACGACAGCTCGGCACAGCCAACCCCTTCTCAACGCCACAGCCAGCCAGGCTGCCGCGCAGCAGGAGTATAAGGAGGGAATCCCAGACCCCCCCCCCCTCTCCTCCTCCTCCTCCGATGGCGTCTCGGCTCTGGATGGGTAAGTACGCAAAGCGGATTTGCCAAACGCAAAGCCCCCTTTTCCTTACCCGTTGCGCCATCGGGCAGTTGTAGGCTCGCTGTTGTAGCGCGGTATATCCGACGACAACAGCAGCAGCAGCAGCGGCAGCGTCAACAACGACGGCGTCAATTAATAGCAACAAAAAAATCCCCGACACTCGCTCGCCGCTTTAAAGTCTTGCTTTCTTCGCCGTGCCGTCTTCAGCAACAACAATACTTTCAGCCCCCTTTTTTTTTCTCTCTCTCCTCTCTTTCTCTCTCCTCTTCTTGAATGACTCTTCGCTTTTCCCGTTGCGGTTCAGTAATAAATTTTCTCTCGCTTTTTTGTTGTTGTTGCTGTTGCTCACCCACCACCCCCCACCGCCACCAGCCACCACGAGCAGCAGCAGCAGCAGCACCTTGAAAACTTGCAAGTATATAAAAATGTCACGTAACTCTCGGAGCGAGCAATGCGTAGTTGTAGTCAACACGAAGCCTGCAACTCCGCCGTTGTCGTATCTTATGGCGCTATGCCACCCTCGCTGTCAATCAGTGAGAGAGAGGCGAGGGGCTGTCAAGGTATAAGGGATGAGTGATGACTCGCCCACGAAACTTCGCTCAGATGCGCGGAGCTCCGGGGGAGGGGAGGTCCCCCTTATTTTTGGGGAGGGGAGGGGGGGTACAAAGGGGGGCGGGGGGGGGGAAGAGGAGGGTAGAAGGGGAGTGTCGCCCCTGTGTTGGTTCGCAGGAGACGGCTTGAGACCGCGAGCGAAGCCTCGGTACATGCGGTCCGTTCGGCGAGGGACGTTCCTCGCTGCTGCTGCTGTATAGATGAGCCTTGACGAGTCTCGCGTTCAGCTCTCTTTCCCCCTTCTCTGCGTGAGCTTTTTTTACAAGGGGGGGGGGGTGTTCTTTGCCGATCGAGTGACGGGGGGTGGAGGCTTTTTGGGGGGAGTGGGGAGGAGCGGGGGGGGGGGGGTGAATGAAAGGAGGGGGAGGGAGCTGCAGGGGGTGGTCAGGGAGCGCAAGGGGGGAGGTTGAAGCGGAGAAGAAACCCGGAAGCGATGCGCGCCTCTCTGTGCAAGACGTCGCCTGCATCTCCTCCCCCTCACCCCTTCCCCCGCCCCTCCTCACCCCCCCCCCCCTTCCTCCACCCCTTAGATTTTCTCGTCCCTCCCATCCTTGTGCTCTCTCACCCGGGCAACTTCAACTGCGGCGCGCCTACAGGGGGATTAATTGCCCATTCCGGAGTTTGGGTCTAGTTCAGAGTCAACGCTCGCCTTGTGCGCTCTTCGCAGCCACGTTGGGTTGCGGGGATGGTTCTCCTCGGGCGTGCGGTGACGCCACGTTGGCTGCGGTACGCAAGCAACGCTCAATAACCCCCACCCCACCCCACCCCCGCTCGCCTGACACGCACTGAGCTCAAATAAGTACCGTACATGCAATGTGTGACGTTTCAGACTATGGCCCTTCTTCAGTAGCGGAGAGGCCTGTAAAGCAAATGGCCCTCTGAGCCACACGCGTGCCTACTACTTCTTTCACACGGACGGCTGCGGGGCGTCTGATTACAGAACCTGGAGCGCGCGCCGACCGGCCACTCAACTTTTAATTCAATGGCTCGGTAAGAGACGGACACGGTCAAGACGACAGGCGCGCCAGGATGTTAGCTGCGCGAGTATCAATGTCGCCGCTCCTTGCAAGGCAGTATCGATGGGTGGTGATGGTGGACAGGGGTGGGGGCTTGTAGGGGGCAGGGCAGTGAAGGGGGGGGGGGGATGCGTGTGACGTATAAAGTTTTGACTTTTGAGAAATGTGTAACAAAACAAGGCACGCACCGTTAACGCGCATACTTAGTGCGTTAGAATCTTTATTTAGACTGCAGAAGGAATCCGATGAGCCATGAAGCTCTTTTTTGCACAGATGTCCAGCATGGGTTGGGGGTCAGCTTATTTTCAGTCGGAACAATCCGGAGCGCTGCTACGGGTAGTTGTTTATATATATACATATATTTATGTATGCACTCTAGTGGTAGTTTCTTACACCGATAATATTTCCTCCGATCCGTCTACGCGCCGATACTTCCTTGTACCACGAATTTATTTATACGTTCATATCTACAGTCGCGCAGCTCTCTAATGCAGTTGTAGTTTCATATAATGTTTGACACATCGGAATCCCCTCCTTGCTTTTTTTGTCTCTTTCTTAAGAAATGAGCGTTCGCACGTTCACTCCTCTTGAGTGTTTGGGGATACGGGGGGAGGGGGAGCTGCGTGATTGTACTGGGCGTGTTGAGAGGGTGTGGTGGTGGTGGTGGTGGGTGGTGTGGTTGGGGTGCATGGGGAGGGGGATAAATAGATGGTGGGGGTGGGGGGGTTGAAGGTTGGAGAGGGGAGGGAACGAAACAGTTGAGCTAAAAAAAAACGAGAAACGATACCCAATTAATGCGTAAACGCTATCCCGTCAACCCCTTGACTCCTCTGCGTACGCTCGTATACTCGCTGTGCCTATCGCGCTGTTTAAACGAGAAGCCCCATAACTAGAACCGGATTAGAACATTTGTCGAGTTTCACTTCGCGCGCTCGAAACTTTTAACGCGCGCGCCTGCGTGTGGCCAGACGACACAAGCGGGAGAGTCGTGGATCGGCTCAGCCTTTAAATGAGTCGTGTCCGGTGCGCGGTGTTGTCAACATTGTTATTTGGGGATACAAAGGCGACCGGGCGTGGATCTGGCCACACTATGGCCTCGTGCGCGCCGCTCTGGCCATAATCAATGCTCGTTAGCAGCGTTTACGCTAATTATCTGCGAGGTTTGTTTTTCCTTCGGGGGGGGGGGGTCTTTGAATGTGTTCATGCGTCCTCGTGCGTGTACTCGCGTTTTGTAACGCAGCATTTCATTTTAGTAGAGTTCCGTAAAAAAATGAATCAGTCCAACATTAACCTCGTCTCAATAGTTTCGAGGGATATGCAGAATGGGAAGCTGGACGCGGGAGGCGATATCTTTGTATTTTTCGTCTTTGTCCCGTGTACATTTTGCACCATAGAGGGCGCATATACAAGCCAGACACAAGCAGAACATCGCCTATGTGCGTGCACACATTGCAGCCTGACTCTTGTGCACACTATAGCCTCAACTCCCACGAACCCCAACCCAACTATTTTTTTTTTTTTACAAAATAGAACACGACAAAAATATAACGGCGTGGCGGTTCCTCGCTCGCATTTTCTGCCAGAGGCGTCTGCTTGACCGGAAGGCTTTATATCAAACAAGAGGGGAGGAAAAATGATGGCTCTGTCAACATCCTTGGAGGGGTGCGGGGGGTTAGCGGAGCGCTGGTCAGGGCCAGAACCATTCGTCCCGCGTCTCGGATCGACTCTGACTGAGACCGAGAGAGAGAGACCGAGAGAGACCGAGAGAGAGAGAGCCCTATACCATTCACGCATCGCGCAATAAGCCGCGGATTTGTTTCCCGGGATCGCTGCACGAGGGCGCGCGCACACGCACGCGCGCGGCGCACACGCGTAGCGGACAACCCTACATCCATCGGATGCGATGCCTTATATATACAGTATATATACAGTATATATACAGTGTGTGTTCCTTTATATACTCACGGGGTATGACATGGTTAGCAAAGCTAGAGATAACGGCTTCGGTTAAATTCTGCGTCTTTAACATCGACGTTACGTTAACGCTGCGCTGTGTTTTATATATATATATTTTTGTATAATCATAATATTTCTCTCCCCCCCCCCCTTCATCCCTCCCCTCTCTTGTTCTCTCACTCTCGCGTCCCTGTGGACCCTGCGCTCGACGCGCGCTCTTCGCCGCGTGCATCTCTCTGCGAGATAAGCCCTAGAGCGTCGGCGCGTTGCGCCGACGCATTTCGCTTTTAATTTGTGTATTTATGATCAAATATCGGCCGTCGCGTTCGCGCGCGGCACGCCATACATCACTGTCTCGTTCGCCTAGGCCGCGTCTTTATTCCGAGCCCAGCTTTAGCGCCGCCGGCCACTGATTTCTTAATTTCAGTCCGAACAGGTAAGGTGCAAGCAAGCTTCACGTGTGTGTGGTGTGTGTTGTGTTTGTATGATATCGTCCGAGAACAAACCGTGCATGGTTTAGTTGTATTTATATTTGGATAGATTTATCGTAGGTTCAGCTTCATGGGTTCGGTCACTCTCTGTGTGTGTGTGCGCGCGTGACTCTGTCTTCTGTTAATGCTAAATAAAGAGACGACGCTAATTTCCCTCCGTGTGTTATTCTTGCGCGCGTGCTGAATCCGTGACGCGTGCGTGCCGTGTCGCCCGGGCCTGATGTATTGTGCATTGCGATATATAGGCGTGATGTATTGTGCATTGTGATATATATAGGCGTGATGTATTGTGCATTGCGATATATAGGAATGGGATAACCCGTAGCTTTATATAACGTTTCGGGTGAGAGACGGCGTATGTATGAATGCGTGCATGCATATACACATGGGACGCGTTATTGTAATCGTACATAAGCCACGTGTGTAAATGTGCGTATTTTAGCAACGTTAAAATGTACATTGGATTGTCAAAAGTACGTGAAAATAGTTTTGCTTTACTAACGTTGCTACAAATGCCGCTTATCATAAACGCATTCATCCGTGCTGTCGATTCCCTGCCCTGCTGTTCGAGTCAAAACTCCCTTCCTACTCTATCCTGTGACTCTCTCTCTCCTCTCTAGAATATACACTGTAGCATGCCGCGCTGTCTTCTCGTACAGCGTCTCGGGGTGCGATTGCATTTACGTACTCTGCACACATTACACGTTGCATTGTCCAGTCGTATTATACGCGTTCTGGGGAGTTTGTACACCTTCTGGAAAACGCCAACACACGTTGACATTGATCATCGAGTGAGCATTTGCGTTTGGAAAATAGGACAGAGAGGGAGAGATGCAGAGAGAGAGAGACAGCTGCTGCGTGCAGTTAATTCGGCACGCACATCAAATATTAATAAAACTTTGTATTATTTTCGGCAGTATTATGAAATATTGCTAATTGGCTCGCTTAGTTTGTCCTTGCCTATATTGATCACGGGGCGCACTGAAAGTCAAGTGGTGTGGGCTCTTTAGAAAAAAGTATGGGAGGGGGGGGGGGCGGAACCCAGATTACATCGGTGAAGAAATTAGACGGCTTTGATGAAGACTGGCCCATGCGCGTTTAATATATACGTGTGTCTGCGTACGTATATGCGCGTATGCATATTTCATTAAGTCCATGACCAACCCACCGATGATTTCGCCTGTTAATGATTGTCAACTGCTTACGTGCTAGTCCTCCACGTGGAAATGCTGGCTATTAGCAATTCGTAATCGGACTCATAACGAGTTAGAGCCCATCACCTTTGTTTCCGTAACAATACTGAGTTGTTTTACTCGGCAAATACGACATTTCGAATACAAAAGTGTCGGAGTCATTGTCATCATCAGACTGACGAGACGACAATCATCATCAGGCAGTTGTGTGCGCTTGAATTGGCGTATTTATTATGCAGAACGCGCTGCGTTGAGTCTCTGTGGCGTACACGTGTGTTAATCGTGGGACACACGTGCTTTGTATAAACGCATTATTGCACTCCGTCAGCGTATAGAGCATGTAGACCTACACACGTGTGTTCATAGACACGTGTGTTCATAGACACGTGTGTTCATAGACACGTGTGTTCATAGACACGTGTGTTCATAGACACGTGTGTTCATAGACACGTGTGTTCATAGACACGTGTGTTCATAGACACGTGTGTTCATAGACACGTGTGTTCATAGACACGTGCGGCGTGTGCGCTGTGCGCGTATATTCGCCCGAACAATAGATACGTTGACAAATAGAGCATTACTGCTCGCAGATGTGCGCGATTATTAAATAACGCGCGTGTGAGTTACAGCGCGCGCAGCGAAGCAGGCATTTGTACAGGGGACACGGGGGAGGTCAACCCTGCTGGAGAAAGTTTCACCGACCGTATACGTACACGTGTATATATATATGTATCACATCATCAGCCATAGTCAATCCGCTGCTGGATGGAAGTCTATTTATATACTCATATACACACACACCGTATTCATTCGAGAATTGCCTTCTCTAAAATAGGCGTGCAATAATTTGACGGGTTAACAGACAGCTAAAGCAAAGGAGTGAATGCGAAATCTGTGCACGTGCGTTCTTCGTGTGTGCGTGCGTCCCGTGCTGCTGCTGATGTTGATGACGTACAGCCCTTTTGTCGATCCACTGCTGGATGAAGGCCTCCAAAACACGCCGTGTCGGCAATAGTGGTCATTTGAACGTGAATGCTCCATCCCGCTGGTCAGTGCGGGTTTGTTGAAGGGAGCATGCAAGTAACAGCAGCGACAACAGTAACACATACAACAGGCCTATATGAACGTAATAATAGTAGTAACAAATTAATACTAATATATATGACCGCTATTACTGTTGCATATACGCACGCAATGCCGATATATTTGTCTTTGCAACAGTTAATTGCAACTACACAAGAAAAGAAAAACACAGACGACACTTAATAAAACGCACAATCGGCATGTCGCTGAATGCAAATCGGGGAAGACAATTAATACCAGCGTGTGTGTGTACGTGTGCGCCCATTTACACACTCTCTGACTCACGGTATTTCTAGGTACAAAGACGAAGATCCCACATAGAGCCTGTAACGGACTGTTGGGGCAAGTGCTGTTAGCGAGCAACTATGAAGGCCGGCACGGCACACGAGGGGGTGGGTGGCCAACACCACGCCCGGCCGTCTTTGTCTCCCCATTGGCGATGTTTACACACCGCACCGGGTACACACCTAGGGGAAACCCAGGACCGGTTCAGATAATCGTCACTGGTGTTGGCCGTGGAGCGGGAATCGAACCCGGGTCGCCGGGTTCATAGCGCAGCGTAGCGCTAACCGCTACACCACCGCTCCCCACACGCATTTACACACGCACACACACATACACACAACATCGGTGACAGCAATAGCGGACTGCACTGCTCTGTTGACACTTCACGCACCGGTCACACTCGTCATCAATGCCGGTGCATTATGAATAACACTCATCATTCGACGACCCTTTTATTTTTTTACGAAGGAAAACAAACTTTTATTTAGTTTTTTTTTTATTTCTCGCTTCTCCTTCTTCTTCTTCTTATTCGCGCGCTGCAAAGCGGCCGTTACGGCACATTTGCGATGAGGGCGTATTGACGGAAACGTGGAATGCACACGACTCGCATACCATGGAATTGACTGATGAAGGCGGATGGATATTTGTGTGTGTGTGTGTATATATATATCACGTGTCAGAACTCATATTAATCACAGCCGGAGCCATGCAACGCAACGGGCATAATGTATATTTTCCGACAGTGATGTCACTAAAATTTACTATCTCGCTGAAAGAGGCAAAAATGGTTAGAGAGAAAATTAAGATTTAAGGGCGAGGGAGGGAGAGACACGACTGCATGAATCCCACCAAAGTCGTACATCCTATCACAGCGTGGCAAAATAATATTACAAGCGAGTCAAGTCACGGGGATGCGTGCGAGTCTCTACGCAACAAATAAACACCAACAAACAAACATCAACAAATAAACACCAACAATTGAAGTTGTACACCGCGTCTCAATTGTATGCAATATGCCCTTTGTTGAATGTGAAATAAATGTGTGTGTGTGTGTATATAGACGTGAACCGTCACCAACCCGCACTGACAAAACGTGGTGAAGTATGGTCAAACAGCTCCCCCGTCCAATCAACCGACACGCCATGGCGAATGCTTCCATTCATCACTCTACTGACAAAGGGCCGCACGTGATTAATTTTTATACAGATACTATATATACACATACTGTATATACACATTGCAATGTACATTTATTGTGTATATATATACACTCGCTATTATTACATTGTAGATTTGCGCTCGTTTGTGAATTGCGTGGGGATGTATTTGTATGCAGCGGTAGTGGAGCTGGGAGCGCTACGAACCCGGCGACCCGAGTTCGATTCCCGCTCACGACCAAATACCTGCGACGATTATCTAAAAACGGTCCTGGGCCCTCCCCTATGTCGACTCAGCCTAAAAAAAATGAGTACCTGGAGCGGTGTGTAAACATCGCCGCTGGGGAGACAAAGGCGGCCGGGCGTGGTGCTGGCGACCACGCCCCTCGTGTACCGCGCCGGCCTTCATAGGCGCTCGCTAACACCACTTGGCCCAACAATTCGTTAATACAATACGGAGGGGGGGGGGTGGTCTTTATCTTTGTATGTACGCGTCAGTAAATGCGGAGCCGCAAATTTGTAGCTGCTCTCGCTCTCTCTCTCTCTCTCGCGGCTCAGCGTCATTCGCACGTCCACCAGAGCGTTGCCATTAGTCACGTCGTGGACAGATTTTGTCAAGCCATTATTGGCGTGCGTCTGGGCTGAAGGAAAGCAGTCGCCCACCCTCCGCTGCCCACAATTCACCGAGAGACTCGCGCCTCGGTCTCTCAGCGCTTCGCTCGCCTCTTATCGCCTCCCCTCCGCGAGTCGCGCGCCGCGACGTTCGCCCGCAACCACCGCGGATCGCCACCGCCGTGATGCTGCTGCTGCTGCTGATGGTGAACGAAGTCCTCGACACTTCGCGCCCTCCCTGACCGATTGATTGCGTCGACGTTCGACGCGCGTCCGCTGTAGGCGATGCAGAGATAGACCCGTTGCGCAGGGATGTTCATTATTATTATAACTGCTACAACGAGGCTTTGTTCCTGTCAAAGCAAAAAAAAACTTTCGTGGTAATTGTCATTACTCCGGAAGGGCAGAATTGAGAAGCGAACACGCACCGCGGCACGGCACAGCAGAGGACTTGTCGGAGAGGCTCAACTTTTACACGGCAAGGCGTCATTGCGGTCTTTCATGCTTTTTTAATACACAGTATTTATATATATCATAGTTTTGTTTTAATTAACTGTCAAACAAATCAGATTTTTTTTTATACGTGTAACTTTTGTGGCGCTTTGAGTTCTCAAA